GTTTGTCTTTGGCTTTTCTTTTTCAGCTGGAGCCACTATATCTGTCATGGTTGAAATCTTCAGTCAGACATACAGACCATCAGCCTTTCTGATAGTTGGCTGCATCAACTGGATGGGACTGTTTGTACTTGGGATGATTTTTCCAGTGATTGTTGTAAGTGACTCTACCTGAATCCCTCCTTCCAGGCTAATCCATTTCTGAATGCTGACAGGGAGCAAAATAATGGCAATAAATTGCAATGACATGCAAAGCTTAGAGGTCTGTCCAAATACCAAACCTGCTCAGGAATTCCCAGGCCTGTCAGAGGAGCAGCAATTGGACTCAGGTCAAACATGGCCAGTGGAAACTCCTGGTTTGACACATGCCCTGGATGGTGTATGGAGCACACCTTTGAATTTTGACTTACAAGACACATCTAAGACACGAATAGAAATTAGATTCTTATTTTCCTTACACTGTCTCACATTTCTGCCTGCAGGATAACCTTGGACCCTTCTGCTTCCTCATATTTTTTGGAATCCTTGCTTTATCAGCAATTTTCATCTACCTGTATCTGCCTGAGACCAAGGGGAAGTCAATCATGGAAATAAAAGCAGAGTTCAACAAGCTCAACTTTGGGAAAAAAGAAACCTCAGTCACTGAAAATAACTTTCCTAAGGAACAGTTGTCTTGCACCAAGCTCTGAATATTCAGAGGAGAAACTTGCATCTCTTAGGAAAGACAGGAAACAAGGTTGCAATGGAACTAAAAAGGAATCATTAAAAACTGACTGCAAGCTCTTCTGTCTCATTTCTTTTTTCTTTCTCTTTTTCTTCTTTTCATGTCAATATGAAACTTATTATGCTACAGTTTTATTTCTGAATGATATTTAAGCATTTTCACAGGAAATTTCATCACCCAGTTTCAAGATCTACTGGACATAAAGAGTTTTTTTCCCATTAAAGAACCTATTTATGATAGTACACCTTAAGAAGTTTTAAAACATTTTGTTAACAGTCCATAGGGCTCAAATCCTGCTAGAAGAACATGCACACAGACTCTGCTCATAGTCCTGGCCCACAGCACTGGGCCTCAGTTGGTATCCCCTGTTCCCAGGAGTCCTGCCCAATGCCACAGATACCTGAGCAGTTTGTTATTGACCTTTCCTAAATGAGAACTCACTAGCACTGAGTTCCTCAGAACCAGGTAACCGATGGCAAAGAGCTTAGAGAAAAGTATCCGAAAACTGAAAGACCAATTAAAATAATTTAAGATGACAAACAAGGGAATGAAGGATTCAGAAGGCAAGCTGACCATCAGCCACAAGGCTGGGGAAATACAGAAGTCTAAAATATCTGACTAGCAGGCAGGTAGAGGAAAAGCTACAGACACAGTTTAGGGTGCTCTGAGCAGATATGGACTAAAAACAGCAGAATAAACTGGGAAAAAAAGGTTCCAGCATGATAACTGAAAAAAATATTGAAAGTGAAATTGTATTGTGCAACAAACCTGCTGGAGATGTAATGGAATTCTCAGTGGAGAACACCCTAGTAACTCTAGGCAATGAAAAGGACCTGCCAAACTAAGATGTTATTGTATGCAAAAGAAGCAAAATGGTTGCTGTAGAATAAAGTACACTCCCAGGAGCATCCGTGGTGTCTAAGGAACTGAGTTCCAACCTGGTACATCAGCTTCTGGGAATTACATCAGATGTTTTCAGAGAAGAGTTTGTTTTGGAAATGCTTTTTCTTGTTATGTAAGCAAGCTGCGAATAACGAGTGATTATTGCACCCAGCAGTAAAAATAGGTTGTGAAGTTCAGTGGAAATCGTCTCAGTTTTTCCAAGTGACCACCAACAAGTATAGTATGACCTGTGACTAAATGCTTTGGATCATGCCACCTGCATCCAAATCACTGAAGAAAATAATTAATCAATATTACAAACTACAGTTCCTCTCCTTACAGAAAGAGGTGTCACTTGAGTTTGTTTATAATGCTTTGACTTAGAAAACATGCCCTGAAAAGGCTCTTTGTATAAACAGATTTTATTTCTGCTTTTTTTCAGGGCTTTCATTATTTTCAGAATGCTTTGCATACAGGAAACACAATACCCTAACATGGGCTGTAGATGAACACTGACACATAGTGATTCATCTCCTGACTTTCTTTGCTGACTTTTTACAGCAAGGGTGCTTTGGTGAAGGGACTGACTTAAAATCAACACACACCACACAATCATAGAATCATAGAATGGCTTGGGTTGGAAGGGACCTTAAATACCACCCACTTCCAACCTCCCCCTGCCATGGGCAGGGATGGCACCCATCAGACCAGGTTGCTCAGGGCCCAGTCCAGCAGTGACCTTGAACACAATCAACTTTAGAATTTTAAGGTATTTGCTTAAATTACACCTTTGCAGTACAAGCATTTAGTGCAAGCTACAGAAAGCTCTCCCTCTTTTCCACAGCCTGGGGAATGGAGTGAATAGAAAAGTCCTTAACTCAGAAACTACTGAGCATAGACACCTGCCACCTTTCACATGGAGAGATTAAGAAACAATTTATTTTATCCCCATCAGCATTTTCAACCTGCTTTCCTCACACACCTCACTGCAAACACCCTCTACCAAATGCTGTATGATCCCTCTAAACCACTTCTCCCATGTAGAGCCTCATGTAAGGCTCTACCAGGCAGCAATGAGAACTGATTCCAGCTCCCACATACTCTGGATAAAAGATGCTCATGTGAGAAAGCCTGTGGATTTCCTATCTCTCAGGAGTTATGACTGTTATGGGACTATTTGCACAACAAAGGAGCAAGCTGAAAACAATCCTGTTCTGAGCATGTAGAATCCAGTGCTCACCACAGTGGAAAATCAAGACCCTGATTTTAAGGCATCTTTGTCATGACTTAGTCATAGTTCAGGAAAGGTCTGCACAACATGTGCTACTGGAGTTTTTCTGTTATGGCCTATTCCACAGGAAGAGTTCCAGACCTCACAACTGAGTCATCCATCTAAATTTTTTACAATAATTATAAGACTTGCATAAAGAGGGACATTCTAACTTTCCCACTCTCACTCTCTGAAACACTTGCCTTTTCACTGTTTTCATGATCAGGCTGTATCCAAATGTGAAGTGTAACTTTGGATGCTTTGGTTTCCAGAGTGCAAAACCCATGTTCCCTCCTAGGACAGTCCCTTGCCTGCCTGTATTAGCAGTCTGCAGATGGCACATGCAGACACACCTCTCCCAAGGCACCCCCACCCCTCCCAGGGCACCTGAGGGAGGTATCACTGACTCTTTAAAAGCTCTTGAGGTGCTTACTAGCACAGTAGGGTGAGCTGGTTTGCAGGTGAGTTAGAAACAAAGCTGTGAACTAGGTAAGCTGAAAGCAAACCCTCTTGTGACTCACAGATGCCTAAATTCATTGTTAACACAAATATAAGCAAGGATAAAGTTCCAGAATCTTTTACAGGGGAGCTCACCCAACAGTTATCAAAAGCATTGGGCAAACCAGCACAGGTAAGTCCAGATGCTCAAATGTTTTCCTTCCTTAGTCACCTGTGCCTATGCAGTGAGCTATTTCTCAGTAACAGCCTTGATAAACTAATATACCTAATGACTCACCAGTATTTACAGTCTTCTTGCTTGCTGTAACTTAGTTCTGCTGAGGTCTCAAAACACTTCAGTATTTAAGCTAGCTTTGTGTAGGATGGTATTCCATGTAGGTCTCTAGGCAGGTGGAGACACTGGATGTGTGGGTATGTGTGCACAGGTATCTCTGTGAACACCTCTCAAGAATTTGGCTGACTGAAAGCAAACCTCACCCTCAACTTCCTCGCTGAGACCTGCTGAATATGTGCTTGTTATTTGCCACCAAATTGCCTGCAGCCCGGTGGTTAGAAATTAAGTAAAAATGAGTTACTCAGCTTGCTTGGTCATCTAGCAAAACTATCTATGTGGCAAAAATATGTAGCCAAAATACCGGAATAAAAGCTGTCTGCTGGTTTCATTACCAGCTGAAGGGGTTTTACCTGCCAAAATCCATGTCAATATGCTACTGAGGTGTAGTACTGAAATACTGGTGTTAAAGGTCTTACAAGGTTTTATAAGGCTTTTATTTTCTTAATACTGGATGGTCACTAGTCACTGTATCAGTTGCTAACTGAAGATTGTTGATGAACATGACAAACTAGGTGAAAGATTCTTTACAGAGCTGTAAGCTTTGTCAGATGAGCTACACCTCAGCTGCTGTAGCAGCAGTAACTTCAGTGAACTGGCTACGGGCTTTGTGCATGTTCACTAGCAAGTGAACGTTTTCAGAAAACGTTATTTTGCTTCGGGAGTGATGCTTTCAAACTGTAGAAGGAATGAAGTTTTGGTGCCTGAGTCCTTTCTCTGTGTGCTGGGACACCTGAAGGACCTTTGCTCTGAAATAGAACCCAAGTGCTCTGAAGTGGGAGTCACCCCCAAAAGATGGCAACAGAGATATCCGAACACCTCAGCCATCATTTGATAACTACCACATTGGAAGTCCTCTGAGGAGAGAAGAATGAACCCAAAATTCAAAACCTAGTGGGACAACTGAAAATAGGACAAACTCTGGAATGTCTTGAAAATGGTAAGAAGAAAATTGCCAGCAGTTGCCATGGTTTTGTCAAAATCAGTAACACGTTAAACAGACCCTCAGTAGTCTCTTACGCTCAGGTCTAGTCAACAGTTAGAGTAATGACTCAGTGGGCTGGGGTGAGCAGATGACAATAGCTTGTGTGCATGGCAGACAGAGCAAGAATTCAAGAAGATAGTAAGAGATCTTCATCAAGTCAAGAAGCTTTCTTTCAATAGTTGATTAATAAATGAAACTTCAGAAAATACAAAGAATAATTCATTAAAGAGTAAATTTTTGGGGAACTACTATGGGTTACAGGAGAAATAAGAGTTAAGACAATGCTCGGGAGCAGGGGGATTTCACTTCTGTTGTGCACAAGGTAGAAGTAAGTGTCAGCAGGGGTTCTCCATCCACCTCAGGCCTTTCAAGCAAGACATAGGCAGATTAGAGATGTACCAAAGGAAAAACACTTAAGAAATAAGAGACTACAGATCAGCACATATTCTGGCTCTTCTAGGAGAGAAGGATGAAGGGTGAGGCTGTTATGGAAGAGATGGGAACACTGTTCCTCAGTGGCATAAGGCAGGAAGCAAGAGCTTAACCTGCAGTAAGATTTCAGCTGGTCCTTGGTGGAAAATTTGAAAAGCTTCTATGACTTCCAGTCAGATTCTGCACTGAACTTGTGCCATGAATCCCACCAGTGATGGGATGGTTAATGGTACTAACATTTCTTTGACCAATTAGAAACTCTTCATTCCGCACTGATAATTAGAATATTTCTACTTCTTCTTGCATGGCTGTAGACTTTAAAATGCGGTTGGATGTCTCATCACATTGATTTGTATCAAGTTAAAAAGTCAATTGACCTGAAGGAGCTGGTTCTACTGTGTCTCTTCCAGAAAGATTGTCTTATAAATGCCCCCCCCCTTTCTTTAGGGACAGGAATAGAGCTCTTTGCAATCAACCATTCCCATTAAACATGTGGAAAATCAATCTCTGCCAAATTTGACCAAAGTTAGTTATCTAGGGGTATAGTTAGAAGCATGTTTGAGGCTTGTGTAAGCTTTGTTTCTGCAGAAAGGAGGCTTAACTGTAAATGGGAGTGAGATTACGTTTTTTCCCCAACACATGTAGTAATATAATGAAATTCTTATGTAAAACTGATGTGTTCTATCCCTCTTAAAAAAGCCAACATTTTTATCAGTCTAGCAAACAAGTACTTGCTGTTGGGGGGGTGGGGGGGTGTCAGCTGGTGGTTCTTGCATAACAGCTCCTGAATATAAAGCTAGAGGCCAGGGCTGGGATGCAGCTGGAATAGGTTTGTGCAGCTGTGTGGAAGGGATATGTAATGGGACTTAGAAATATACGGGGAATAACAAAGAGATTTTTCTGAAGGGGACATGCAAGCTCTTCGTGACAAAGGAGGCAATAGGAAAGGGACAGTCTCTTAGTTATAACACAGAAAGAAAGAATGGATTAGGGTGGGCTGGAATGCAGAGCTTTCCTCTCACAGGAAACTGTACCATTTGGAAAAAAACTACTGATTTTTTAATCAAATATGTTTTTTTCCTACTAGAAGAACTGTTTCAAATATTTTCAAACTGCTCTAAGGAGAAAATTATGTTGATTAATGCTTCAGCTTAATTTTATTTTTAATAATACCCTGCTTCTGGGGTAGATGTTAAAGCCACACATGTGCCTACATTTGGCATAAAGTCGAGAGCATACAGTGTCCAGCCAGGGCAGAACAGGGCCAAGCAAGTGATACCTCAGCAGGATCTCCTTGGCTTATCCTGTACTGCTGTGGTCTGATGCACCTCACACCCAAACAAGCTGTAAATGATGGCCAAGACTAATTACCCAGACAACTCCTGGTACTCAGGCTAGCTTGTTTTACCAAGAGGGTTAATTGCTGCTGAGTTCCAATGATGCGCTGCTAATAAACGTGGGTAAGAACAGAACAGAAGACAGATGGGTGCCAAAGGAACTGATCCCTAGATTCCCCAGTGTGTGGATCTGACACCGTGTATTAGCAGTAGGGAAAATTGCAGGCTGGTCATTAATATTAACATAGATACTTTCTTCTATTTTTCCTGATATCAAGAACAAAAGTAGGATTAGGCTGTATTTTGTTTAATGAGGGGGATGTTGATTTAGACTTCTGCTGTGTCAGTTCACATTTACCTCAGCAGGGAAGACTGCAACAGGAGCCAGTGAGGTGCAAAATCTCTCTGGAACGTAGCGTGGCAGCAATGCAATTGCACACCCCCCACTCAACCCTGACCTTCCCACACAGACAGGGACAGCCTGGTGGCTTGGAGGAGGTTCTGGAGGTACTGCAGGTCACTGAGCTCCTGGAGTACCTGGACTTTCTACCCAAAATTCAAAGGTGGTAAAGATGTTACTGCAGTGTTCTTCTTCCAACCATGTACCCCAGAGCCCTTCTTTCAGTAGGTAACTGGGCCCTGGGGCTGCAGGCTGCAATTCTCTGTAGTGCATGGTGTTCACTGCAGAGCCAGCAGTGCTTGTCAGGCATTGAGCATTTTGGTGAGTCCCTCCCCTAGAGCAATATCCATGCACACCCCTTGCCTGGTGTGGAATGTTTCAGTAGAGACTGCTTACAGGGTGCACCCCAGCCACCCATCCATTCTCATCCTAGGTTTCACACATGTTTGGGTACAAAAGGAGAGTATTTGCTGCTGACTGGCCAGAGCAGCCACTGAAGCCTGGAGGTGGACAGAGCAGCACACACACTGTTGTTTCCCCTGCAACTGTCCTTACCCAGCCAGAGCAATTACTAGGAACCAAGACTCCCAAGCCTAAATAGTATGTCTTTGTACCAGCCCATGACACAGCAGTGAATGTCTTGGAGTGGAATGTAAGTCCAGACAGTAAGATGTCAACACATGAAAGCCTTGCACGTGAAAATCATGCACCCATTTTAACTGCAGTTTAGGTACATAAATACCTTCCTGGGTTTCCAAAACTTTTCTTAAGATGGCAAAGGAAAATATTCCTTTTTTTCTCCCAACAGTATCTAGCCTTACAGATCTCTCCTGATCAGGTGATGTCCTTCAGTGGCTCCACAGACCACTGTGCTTTCTCTACAGCATTGGCAAGATAGGGGAGCAGAACAACAAGGGCTACTCCAAATTGTTTTGTGACCTGATGAACAAACAGCTGAAAATACCATCTGACAGTGGAGCTCATACAGCAACTTGTCTGAAATGACTTTCCACAGATTGTTAAAACTATTACTCCCAGACTTGTCCTTTGGTGTTCTCCATTAATATGCTATTTGAAGAGGCCAAATGCCAAGTCAATTGAGCAATTCTGCAACTAAAAGGAAGAAAGGAGCATGAGCTGCAATGCTGATGTCCAGAAAGTGTAAAATTTCTTGGTTAAAATGATGTAGGTTCAGGCACTGCATGTGCCCACAGATCTCATGTGCAAAAACCCAGGTACAGGCACAATAACTTGACGTGACATGTACCAACACTTCCCTACTGCCTGTGGGGTACACGCTGAGGTCTATAGCAACAGCTTCCACTTACTTATAAGCCTTTCCAGGCCATTTTCTCAAAGTATGCCAATCTGCTCCAGACTAAATAAAATACAGTGTCTTGAGAGCTCCTTAAAACAAGAAGTAGAAAAACACAAGGAATTCCAGAATGCAAGTAGGCAAGGCATTAAAAGGAACATGGAGAAGGGAGTGCAAGACCTGAGAAGTGTAAAACCCTGGGGGACAGTCTACAGGGTGGCCTTGTGTCCTGTTGCAGGAGCACCCTGGCCAGCCTGCAGCACTCTGCTCCAAGCAGCTAACAGTGTCTGTCTTCCCTTTCAGAGTCTGTGTCAGCTTCTTTGACATCCGTGCTGGCCATGCAGGCTGGAACAACACCTTTGCTTGAGGTGCCCTTGGGTGGTAACAGCTTACTCCTGAACCCTCACTGTGGTTTGAGTACTGCAGTTCTAGTCATGTTAGCAGCAACTGACAAATGCAAAAGGCAATGGTACCTTAGTTGCTGCTACTCACTGCTGGATAACATCTTGTCTGCTGCCTAAATCAAAGTAAAAATCCAGCAGAATCCTTATGAGTGAGACTGCCTTGTTACTCTTTGGCCCTGTGGTTGAGATGGAAGGTGCCTTCTCAAAATACTTTTAATGGGATCTTTTCTTTTTAAAACAGTTTAGTTGTGTATGAAGATGAACACTCCATTCGGATATGCCTTTGTCTTGTTCATGCTCAAGAGCTTGACCTGATTTATAGAGAACTATCTTGACCTGATTTCAAGATACATTTAAGACAACAGATGTGGCTAGCTATATGGCATATGGACCTCCCTCCAAAAGGAGGAAAGACATGATTGCCTTTTATTTAAAAGGGATGGATTGCAGTCCAGGTCCTCCTTAGGTCTAAACCTACATGGATATCTAGCTAAGTAGCAGAAAAAATTGCGTTGTGAGTCTCCCAGGGCTCAACACAGGCAGAGGGAGTGAGTGGAAAAAACCACTGTTCACTGTTCTGCCCTCCCCTTTTCATCCATTGAGCAATTTGTAGTGACAGTGAAGATTAGAGCACAGCTCAGAATCAGGCAGAGGCACAGCAAGCCATTCCCAGAGGCTGAAGTGGTGAATTAATTATGAAAGGAAGATTTGCATATAAATATTTATTATTCAAGCTCTTGGTCAGATAAGATCATTTGCTTACAAAGTAAAATAAAAGACTGAGTAGAGATATGTTTCCTGAAATTCTACAGTTAGGTGTATTGTGGCTTTTTTTTCTGGAAGAGCAAACCCTATTTCACCCCTGTTCAGAGCTTTATTGTGAACATCCCATTCTGTCCCTATCACAGCTTTGCTCTGCAGCCACAGGCTTTCAATACAAGCCTGCACCTCAACCTTCAAAAATGCTTTGTTGAGATAACAAATGAAAGCTGCTTTGGTGGTGAATCAAAGCAGTACAGCCAGTAAAGCAATGTTCTACTTGGCATCTAAGTACAGTGTTTCTTATTAAATATTGTTCACTCCACTTAAGCCATGTGGAGATGTCCATTGAGGAAGGAAGACATAACATGAGGTAGATATTCTTTTGGCAGTATGGCCCCTTAAACACCACAGGATCTTCCTTCCCCATAAATCAACCTGCCTTTTTCATAGAGCCACTGGCTCAAAGAATGCTGCCTCTGCCTGCTCTTGGCGCCACAGCACCAGCACTCCCTGATGTTCTCCTGGCTCCTCCTTCCTGCCCCGGTTGCTCTGTGCTTAGGTTTGGGCTGTGGTGCAGTTGGGTATGTACAACTGCAACCCATGGATGCCCCAGCCCTGCCCTTTGCAGTCAGCCTTTGGGGAAGGATTCAGCCTGCCCCACATAGCTCTCGAGGCCTTTCTCTGATGGATGCTTTCAGAGCTATTCTCAGAGCATCCAGTCCCTGGAATGGGTGCTCGTAAGGCACCTCATAGCACAAGTACAAAGAAGACCATCTTTACTTGCTAAAAATCCTTATACTCTCTAATGGGGAATGTAGAAGCTGCCTTTGCCTCTGCCTCTGGCACATCATTAAAATGCTCTTTGGCATATTTCTGTCAAACATTTTATCTTTCCATTTTTTGCTCTCAGACACATTTCTCCATTGCTCTTATTTTAATCACAGGCAATTGGGCTTAAAAACAGATGCTGTGCATCCAGAAATGTATTATGAATGTAGGTGTGTGGAGCAATCATTTGAGGGAGGAGTGTGCACAAGTACACTGCTATTTGGTTAACTGCTAAAAATGCATCTTTAGAAGCTATGAAAATGTATGCACGGCTTCTTCCTTAGGGAGGAGAAGGAGAACGAAGTTGCAGATGTTTCTCCGTCGTGTGGCAGCATGGCCAAGAGCTGCCACTTCAGGCCTGGCAGGCCACAGAGCTTAGCAGCAGTGGTGACATGGCTCTCAAGTTTTTTTCCCCCCTCACCTCCATGCAACAAATCTGGGAGCAGGAAGGTGGGAGGGATAAGTGGCACTCTGCAATGTCAGGGAGCTAAGGATATCAAAAGAAGGAAACTTTCTCGGGTTTTAATCTCTGTTCTCAAACACTAAAAGGAAGTGCTCCAGTTCTAAGCAATAATGCTGTGTCCCTGTGTCACTCCAAAGTATTCCCATGTAATACCATTCCTCACTCAGAACTATGCGTGTTCACATGTGTAACATGTATGTACAGTCAAGCATCCTGGCAGCAGCAGTGGTGGGACTGTCAAAGATGAACACGGGCTTGATTCCTGTGTGTAACACGTTATGCGGAGAGGGCTCTGGGCCTGATCCTCCCTGCCTTCCCGTGAGTCTCGCCGCGCAGCAGAGGGGCAGGGAAGGGAAGGGGCAGGGCGGGCAGCCGTGCCCGGGCAGCCTACGTGCATCGCATCACAGCGCACGGCTCGGCTGCCTCTCGCCTCCGAGCAGACACGCACCTCTTCGCTCCCGACCAAAAAAATACCACTTCTGCCTTTTTCTAGCAGAAAGTTATGATGTGAAAATGGGGGTACTGAGGAGTAATAGATAATTTTTAATTTGACTGAGAACTGTTAGAGAATAATTGATACGCCAGCAAGGGAGGCGTTTCTGCTTACATGGAGTTCAAGTTGTGCACACAGTTAGGAAGAAACATATGAACATGCCTTTATCTTGCAAAAGAAAAAAAATTCCTGAGCCACAGCAGGTACGCGTTCTGCAAGTGCCAAGCTAGGGCCTCTCCCCAAGCGTGGCCC